TTCACTGTTCCCGGCCAATGGGAGCTGCAGGAAACGGCACCACTTCCCATTGGCCGGGAACAGCGTCTCTCAGCCCGCCAGGGGCTTACTCTGAACAAGCCGCGAACCAAGTTTGGGAACCCCTGCTCCAATAAAAGGTTAATAAGGGTTTTAATGGAGTGTTTGCCATGACACTACACAGGCTGAGGTCTCTGTATACCAAACCCTGAACCGTGTTTAAAACTGTTTAATGTTGGACAGTTTCAGGGTCCTGTTGAACACTTGACTCTTTGGGCCTGTATTTCCATCTAAAATTAATGCAATAGGCCCCTTTCCACTTCAAAACATGCAGAGTAAAATAAAGGTGCCACTCCCCGCTGATAATGTGAGAATAGCTCTTCCGGATTATCCCTGTAATTCAACAGTTCTGTGCTCCAAACAGTATCATGCATTTTCCAGCAGGAGTTTCAAACAGCACTTCACTGAATAGCCCAGGAACCACAGCAGAGCATTAAAGGATACTTTCTAAAGTGCCCTTAAGCACTGAGCATGCTGTGTGTGCACATTCCTGCAGGTGGATACAAAGCAGCAGTAGCAGGACCTCATTCACCAGGCTGCTAGCCACAGCAATACCGAGGAGCACTTTAAAACGTGCCTTCTCATAATGAGCCGAAGTAGAGCTAAGGCAAGTTACACTCTAATATGTACCTTTTTAAATGGAGAGCAACCTCTGGTGATGCTCTTAGCCCCCAAAGGGGAGAATTAGCTTATTTCCCATTAGGAGAATATCCTAGTGAATGCAGGCATGCATTGCATGCAACAGCAGCTGGGAGCAGGAAGGCAGTTGTGAAAGTATAGTGTGGCATAGCAGTAACCTGGAACAAAGTCCAAGCTGACCTGTACCTGACCTTATATGCTTGCCTGGAGAAGTGAGTGTTCCTTCTGCAAAACACCCTTAGTTGAATTCAAAGGAGAATCCAGGCTTAAATATCTTCCTCTTCAGGCCCAAAAGAAAATATCAAGACATTTTAAAAGCAAAAACACATTTACATTTTTGTCCTACGTTAGCAGGAGCCAGCCTTTGTGCCTTCGCTGAGTCAAAAATAGGCAACTTCACAGCCATTTGCGAGTGTGTGTAAATCAATCTTAAAATAAACCTGGGAATGTGCTGACCACATCAATGATTCTGTGCTTCATGCCATACAGTACATGACCTGCATCGTGATAAAATGAAATGGTTTGTCATTCTAGAAACTCACCTCACCTAATTATGTGGCAAAGCGCCAGGAGCAATCTGTGAACAGTTTGCAGCTCCTGGGACAGATGGAAGTCAGTGGTGTCACAGAATTGATACATTGCTTACTGTTGATGCTGAGGTTCTTATGGAGAACTAAATACTAAGGGTATGTCTACACTACGGAATAAGGTCGAATTTATAGAAGTCGGTTTTTTAGAAATCGGTTTTATATATTCGAGTGTGTGTGTCCCCACAGAAAATGCTCTAAGTGCATTAAGTGCATTAACTCGGCGGAGCGCTTCCACAGTACCGAGGCTAGAGTCGACTTCCGGAGCATTGCACTGTGGGTAGCTATCCCACAGTTCCCGCAGTCTCCGCTGCCCATTGGAATTCTGGGTTGAGATCCCAATGCCTGATGGGGCTAAAACATTGTCGCGGGTGGTTCTGGGTACATATCGTCAGGCCCCCGTTCCCTCCCTCCCTCCGTGAAAGCAAGGGCAGACAATCATTTCGCGCCTTTTTTCCTGAGTTACCTGTGCAGACGCCATACCACGGCAAGCATGGAGCCCGCTCAGGTAACCGTCACCCTATGTCTCCTGGGTGCTGGCAGACGCGGTACGGCATTGCTACACAGTAGCAGCAACCCCTTGCCTTGTGGCAACAGACGGTACAGTACGACTGGTAGCCGTCATCGTCCTGTCCGAGGTGCTCCTGGCCACGTCGGCTGGGAGCGCCTGGGCAGACATGGGTGCAGGGACTAAATTTGGAGTGACTTGACCAGGTCATTCTCTTTAGTCCTGCCTGCAGTCAGTCCTATTGAACCGTCTTATGGTGAGCGGGCAGGCGATACGGACTGCTAGCAGTCGTACTGTACCATCTTCTGCCGAGCAGCCATGAGATGTGGATGGCATGCAGTCCTTCTGCACCGTCTGCTGCCAGCCAAAGATGTAAAAGATAGATGGAGTGGATCAAAACAAGAAATAGACCAGATTTGTTTTGTACTCATTTGCTTCCCCCCCTCCCCTGTCTAGGGGTCTCATTCTTCTAGATCACACTGCAGTCACTCACAGAGAAGGTGCAGCGAGGTAAATCTAGGCATGTATCAGTCAGAGGCCAGGCTAACCTCCTTGTTCCAATAAGGACAATAACTTAGGTGCACCATTTCTTATTGGAACCCTCCGTGAAGTCCTGCCTGAAATACTCCTAGATGTAAAGCCACCCCCTTTGTTGATTTTAGCTCCCTGAAGCCAACCCTGTAAGCGCCCCTCCCGGCATCAGAGCAACGGCAAACAATCAGGCATCTGAGAGTGCTGTCCAGAGCAGTCACAATGGAGCACTCTGATGGGGCTAAAACATTGTCGAGGGTGGTTCTGGGTACGTATCGTCAGGCCCCCGTTCCCTCCCTCCCTCCGTGAAAGCAAGGGCAGACAATCATTTCGCGCCTTTTTTCCTGAGTTACCTGTGCAGACGCCATACCACGGCAAGCATGGAGCCCGCTCAGGTAACCATCACCCTATGTCTCCTGGGTGCTGGCAGACGCGGTACGGCTTTGCTGCACAGTAGCAGCAACCCATTGCCTTCTGGCAGCAGACGGTGCAATACGATTGGTAGTCGTCCTCGTCGTGTCCGAGGTGCTCCTGGCCAGGTCAGCTGGGAGCGCCTGGGCAGACATGGGCGCAGGGACTAAATTTGGAGTGACTTGACCAGGTCATTCTCTTTAGTCCTGCAGTCAGTCCTATTGAACCGTCTTATGGTGAGCGGGCAGGCGATACGGACGGCTAGCAGTCGTACTGTACCATCTTCTGCCAGGCAGGCAAGAGATGGGGATGGCTAGCAGTTGTACTGTACCATCTTCTGCCGAGCAGCCATGAGATGTGGATGGCATGCAGTCCTTCTGCACCGTCTGCTGCCAGCCAAAGATGTAAAAGATAGATGGAGTGGGTCAAAACAAGAAATAGACCAGATTTGTTTTGTACTCATTTGCCTCCTCCCCTGTCTAGGGGACTCATTCCTCTAGGTCACACTGCAGTCACTCACAGAGAAGGTGCAGCGAGGTAAATCTAGGCATGTATCAGTCAGAGGCCAGGCTAACCTCCTTGTTCCAATAAGGACGATAACTTAGGTGCACCATTTCTTATTGGAACCCTCCGTGAAGTCCTGCCTGAAATACTCCTTGATGTACAGGCACCCCCTTTGTTGATTTTAGCTCCCTGAAGCCAACCCTGTAAGCCGTGTCGTCAGTCGCCCCTCCCTCCGTCAGAGCAACGGCAGACAAACGTTCCGCGCCTTTTTTCTGTGCGGACGCCATACCAAAGCAAGCATGGAGGCCGCTCAGCTCACTTTGGCAATTAGGAGCACATTAAACACCACACGCATTATCCAGCAGTATATGCAGCACCAGAACCTGGCAAAGCGATACCAGGCGAGGAGGCGACGTCAGCGCGGTCACGTGAGTGATCAGGACATGGACACAGATTTCTCTGAAAGCATGGGCCCTGCCAATGCATGCATCATGGTGCTAATGGGGCAGGTTCATGCTGTGGAACGCCGATTCTGGGCTCGGGAAACAAGCACAGACTGGTGGGACCGCATAGTGTTGCAGGTCTGGGATGATTCCCAGTGGCTGCGAAACTTTCGCATGCGTAAGGGCACTTTCATGGAACTTTGTGACTTGCTTTTTTCCTGCCCTGAGGCACATGAATACCAAGATGAGAGCAGCCCTCACAGTTGAGAAGCGAGTGGCGATAGCCCTGTGGAAGCTTGCAACGCCAGACAGCTACCGGTCAGTTGGGAATCAATTTGGAGTGGGCAAATCTACTGTGGGGGCTGCTGTGATGCAAGTAGCCCACGCAATCAAAGATCTGCTGATATCAAGGGTAGTGACCCTGGGAAATGTGCAGGTCATAGTGGATGGCTTTGCTGCAATGGGATTCCCTAACTGTGGTGGGGCTATAGACGGAACCCATATCCCTATCTTGGCACCGGAGCACCAAGCCGCCGAGTACATAAACCGCAAGGGGTACTTTTCGATAGTGCTGCAAGCTCTGGTGGATCACAAGGGACGTTTCACCAACATCAACGTGGGATGGCCGGGAAAGGTGCATGATGCTCGCATCTTCAGGAACTCTGGTCTGTTTCAAAAGCTGCAGGAAGGGACTTTATTCCCAGACCAGAAAATAACTGTTGGGGATGTTGAAATGCCTATATGTATCCTTGGGGACCCAGCCTACCCCTTAATGCCATGGCTCATGAAGCCGTACACAGGCAGCCTGGACAGTAGTCAGGAGCTGTTCAACTACAGGCTGAGCAAGTGCAGAATGGTGGTAGAATGCGCATTTGGACGTTTAAAGGCGCGCTGGCGCAGTTTACTGACTCGCTTAGACCTCAGCGAAACCAATATTCCCACTGTTATTACTGCTTGCTGTGTGCTCCACAATATCTGTGAGAGTAAGGGGGAGACGTTTATGGCGGGGTGGGAGGTTGAGGCAAATCGCCTGGCTGCTGGTTATGCGCAGCCAGACACCAGGGCAGTTAGAAGAGCACAGGAGGGCGTGGTACGCATCAGAGAAGCTTTGAAAACCAGTTTCATGACTGGCCAGGCTACGGTGTGAAAGTTCTGTTTGTTTCTCCTTGATGAAACCCCCCGCCCCTTGGTTCACTCTACTTCCCTGTAAGCTAACCACCCTCCCCTCCTCCCTTCAATCACCGCTTGCAGAGGCAATAAAGTCATTGTTGCTTCACATTCATGCATTCTTTATTCATTCATCACACAAATAGGGGGATGACTACCAAGGTAGCCCAGGAGGGGTGGTGGAGGAGGGAAGGAAAATGCCACATAGCACTTTAAGCACAACACTTTAAAAGTTTACAACTTTAAAATTTATTGAATGACAGCCTTCTTTTTTTGGGGCAATCCTCTGTGGTGGAGTGGCTGGTTGGCCGGAGGCCCCCCCACCGCGTTCTTGGGCGTCTGGGTGTGGAGGCTATGGAACTTGGGGAGGAGGGCGGTTGGTTACAGAGGGGCAGCAGTGGCAGTCTGTGCTCCAGCTGCCTTTGCTGCAGCTCAACCATACACTGGAGCATACTGGTTTGGTCCTGCAGCAGCCTCAGCATTGAATCCTGCCTCCTCTCATCACGCTGCCGCCACATTTGAGCTTCAGCCCTGTCTTCAGCCCGCCACTTACTCTCTTCAGCCCGCCACCTCTCCTCCCGGTCATTTTGTGCTTTCCTGCACTCTGACATTATTTGCCTCCACGCATTCGTCTGTGCTCTGTCAGTGTGGGAGGACAGCATGAGCTCGGAGAACATTTCATCGCGAGTGCGTTTTTTTTTCTTTCTAAGCTTCACTAGCCTCTGGGAAGGAGAAGATCCTGTGATCATTGAAACACATGCAGCTGGTGGAGAAAAAAAAAGGGACAGCGGTATTTAAAAAGACACATTTTATAAAACAGTGGCTACACTCTTTCAGGGTAAACCTTGCTGTTAACATTACATACATAGCACATGTGCTTTCGTTACAAGGTCGCATTTTGCCTCCTCCCACCGTGTGACTACCCCCTCAACCTTCCCCCCTCCCTGTGGCTAACAGCGGGGAACATTTCTGTTTAGCCACAGGCAAACAGCCCAGCAGGAATGGGCTCCTCTGAGTGTCCCCTGAAGAAAAGCACTCTATTTCAACCAGGTGACCATGAATTAGATCTCACTCTCCTGAGGATAACACAGAGAGATAAAGAACGGATGTTGTTTGAATGCCAGCAAACCTACACTGCAATGCTTTGTTCTACAATGATTCCCGAGTACGTGTTACTGGCCTGGAGTGGTAAAGTGTCCTACCATGAAGGACGAAATAAGGCTGCCCTCCCCAGAAACCTTTTGCAAAGGCTTTAGGACTACATCTAGGAGAACCGCCAATGCCAGGGCAAAGTAATCCTTTCACATGCTTGCTTTTAAACCATGTATAGTATTTTAAAAGGTACACTCACCAGAGGTCCCTTCTCCGCCTGCTGGGTCCAGGAGGCAGCCTTGGGTGGGTTCGGGGGGTACTGGCTCCAGGTCTAGGGTGAGAAACAGTTCCTGGCTGTCGGGAAAACCGGTTTCTCCGCTTGCTTGCTGTGAGCTATCTACAACCTCCTCCTCCTCATCATCTTCTTCGTCCCCAAAACCTGCTTCCGTATTGCCTCCATCTCCATTGAAGGAGTCAAACAACACGGCTGGGGTAGTGGTGGCTGAACCCCCTAAAATGGCATGCAGCTCATCATAGAAGCGGCATGTTTGGGGCTCTGACCCAGAGCGGCTGTTCGCCTCTCTGGTTTTCTGGTTGGCTTGCCTCAGCTCCTTCAGTTTCACGCGGCACTGCTTCGGGTCCCTGTTATGGCCTCTGTCCTTCATGCCCAGGGAGATTTTCACAAAGGTTTTGGCATTTCGAAAACTGGAACGGAGTTCTGATAGCACGGATTCCTCTCCCCAAACAGCGATCAGATCCCGTACCTCCCGTTCGGTCCATGCTGGAGCTCTTTTGCGATTCTGGGACTCCATCATGGTCACCTGTGCTGATGAGCTCTGCATGGTCACCTGCAGCTTGCCACGCTGGCCAAACAGGAAATGAGATTCAAAAGTTCGCGGTTCTTTTCCTGTCTACCTGGCCAGTGCATCTGAGTTGAGAGTGCTGTCCAGAGCGGTCACAATGGAGCACTCTGGGATAGCTCCCGGAGGCCAGTACCATCGAATTGTGTCCACAGTACCCCAAATTCGAGCCGGCAACATCGATTTAAGCGCTAATCCACTTGTCAGGGGTGGAGTAAGGAAATCGATTTTAAGAGCCCTTTAAGTCGAAATAAAGGGCTTCATTGTGTGGACGGGTGCAGGTCTACATCGATTTAACGCTGCTAAATTCAACCTAAAGTCCTAGTGTAGACCAGGGCTAAGTAGTGATAAGGAGGGTGAAAAAATGCCCCTGAAGAAAATTGTCCTAGTCACTGCCCAAATGATGGTTTAAAATGCTGCAGCTGTAGAATCCTTTATGCTAAAGCAGAGGTCACTTTATCAACAACCTATAGTCTGCATCCACCCTGCATCCACTATCTGGATCACCCTTCATCTCACTATAAAGATTATCAAATCCTCTAACAAGGGTCTAGAAGAGAGACTTTTGCAGAAGTATTAGTGTGCGATGTAGACTCTGCATATAAAGTGCTAGACATAAAGGACCTATTCTTTCCAGCTGCGTTATGCTTTGCCTACTTCTCTCTCGCAGCTTCTTCTATCTTTCTCCGCTCCCTCTCCTCAGGACATCTGGATGGAACCTTGCTCACATCTAAGAGAGCTGTCACACTGCACTCAGCACTTCTGTCACTTCTTCCTAGATGCAGACAGGAGTCCATGTAGAGAAAAACTCTTCCTCCTCTATTCTGTGTGGTCCCAATTTTTAGAGCTGCTGGGCTCCTATGGACTTCAGCTGGAGCTGTGGCTGCTCAGCACTTTGCATGAAAATTCAGGGCCACACCGCATATTAATGTCCAGTCCATGGCACCAGCAACCTTGTGTCCACAAATAATGGCCTTCCAGGGAAGTTACTTAAGCTGGACAGTTGGCTAACACTGAAAATGATGACAAAAGCCAAACTGTTGCAATTTCAACTGGCCTGTGCGTCTCTCTTTGCTGCAATGGACAGGCCTGCGATATGCTATGCCTTGGTATAATCCACTCTGTGGCACTGGCCTAAAAGCGTGTGGAAATCTACTGCTGGAAACACTGCATTGTTGAAGTTGACTGTTTTTGATAAATGCTCAGCAAACTACTGCAAATTTAAACTACCTATGGACATTATTCTGTTTCCTTTGAAGTCAGTAGGTGCAGGATCTGGCCCCATATAAGTACATCTAATGCTTGTCACATAGTGTGTTCCTGATTATTTTTAGCATTATTTAAAAAAAAACCCACTCACCTGGGCAAATATTTTCATTTGGATGCAGCTTGAATGCAGAATGCAGAACACTGTATGCTAAAGAAACCTACCCTTATACTACATTCTATACACATCTTCACCAAGTTCTGGAAAAAAAGTCACGTCCGCTAAGAGGAGAAAACATTTTAAGAGCCAAACAGAGCTGTAGCCACACATCTCCTACTGATTTAAATAGAGAAATATTGATGAGTTCTATACGTTACCATCCTTGCAAAGTTTTAAAAATAAAGAATTTGCTAATGACAACTGTATTTCTTTGCTGAATTTGAGCCTGAGTGATTGCACCTGTAAGTAGTAAAACATGTAACATGTACTCACCAGTGTGCTACAAGATCCGCTCTGTGCTGATCCACTGAGGATATGAGTTGCCACAACCCCAGCCCTTAAGACTTGGCTCTTCGGCTCCTGCTGTAGCACCTCAAGGCTTTTAGCTCTAGAGGTCCCCAGATCAGTCCCTGGAGTGTCAGGCAAGAGTGAGGCTGTCACACATGTGCTTACTTTTACGCTTTGCTGGAGAAGGATAGATGCAAGGGTGTATGCAAGTGCTTTGCTGAACTGGGGCCTCATTAAACCTAAACAGAGGAGAGAGTCAGAGCAAAAGTAGCAATGGAGGAGAAGGGAAATAAGGATTGAAGAAGAGGAGAAAGAACGGGTAATCCATTGCTTCTGACAAGTGGTCAGTGGTGTCACAAAATGAAGACGATAGTACACAACAATCTAGTATCCTCTTGACTCTACTGGGATTACCAACATATTCATCTGGTGTTCTGTCATAGATTCCCTTTTACATCATTATTCACTGATGTCTTAAAGGATGGCCTGTAGGGTTCATTTAAGTCTTAGCAGTTTCTCTGGATGATGGCCATGTCAGGGAAGTCTGTCCTACTACTTTAAAATGAGTTTGCTTTTGCACCATCAGTTTTGAGTAGCACTCTCCGTTTTCCTCAAGGGGGAATGCTGCTTCAAAATCAGTGGTCCCTAAAACTACTTTTGTATGTATTTGTTACTCTTTTAGGAGAGGAATATTTGTTCTAAGTTTTCTCACTTCTTAAATGGCTAATCCTGTTCCCAATTACTTCATCGGAACAATCAAATCCCAAGTTCTGCAATGAAAGTTCCAATTTCCCATGTTGATTATTTTAAAGAAACGAATCCCTCATTCTGATTTTTTTAATAGACTGCAGTATTATGCACCACAAGTCACATTTTCTGAAGGAAGGAGGTGAAAGTCCATTCTCTCCTGCTCTCTCTGCTTCATATTCTTGTGACACCTGTTTCCAGTATCTGAATGACATTTTCATTGCAACTGTCAAAAACAAAACAAAACACACCTCACTGGAGAAAGAACACAGTTCAGTAATTTCCTCAGCAATATATTCAGCATTCATTTTGCATGATGTGTTCATTCTAGGGTTTGAAGGCAGGCTTTAGCTTAAAGCCACTTGCGGCTAAAAATGTAAATCTTGGGATTAGGTAATTACTTTTGCCTTTCTTTTCTAAAAGCATGAAATAGAGTGTAAATAATCCAATATTGGGAGTTAAGCTAATCACAGAGGGTTATTTGTTATCTGAAGAGGGGCCCAGTATCTCTGCTTCACACTGAGATAATTCAGGCCACATTTCCTCTGCAGTTTCAAATAGATACATTCATCTTCACTTCCGGTCCTAAATAGTTATGCTTGTACTATTGTGCCCCTTGAAACCAAGATGGCTTCATTTCAGTGGCAGGTGAAGCGAGCCCTATATGTAAACCATAAAATACTTAGGGATCTTTAAAAGGGTGTAAAGGCAAACAATGAAAATATTACTAATACCTCCTTGCTTTCTGGGGCCTAAATTAAATTCTTCGGTTAACTATACAGAACCTATATGAGACATTAATGACTAAAAGTGATATTATGTCAGAGAAAATAGCCTCATATCTTATTTTTACTACCTGTTACTGTAAGTTTCCAAAATAAAATTATTGTTGCTTTGACATCAACAGAATTCTTTACTCCGTGTAAAGGCATATTACTTAAATCCTTTCTTTTGATGAGCAATATACAATTCAGAAGCAGAGTTATAACCCAATAGATTACAGCACATTGTGACCAATTTTTGAATTGACCCATCCAAAAGCCTGTTTAATGAATGATACACATTGTCTCTGATTACCTAAATTCACACAGCCTGCTAGCCTTGATGTGTTTTCATAACGATCAAATGCAATAAATGAATTAGTGTCCTGAGGGATTCTGGGTTGGAATGAAGGAACGCCATGGAAGATAAATAAAGTCTCAACTAACTTTATGATTTATTGATTCCCCCTCTTTGCTCGTCTTGCAGTGTGGGAGAGCTCATTTTTGTGTCTGGCAGATAGCTGTGTCACCTTTGCTAGTAGATATTACCATCCCATAAAGGTGTGTGACAATAAGTGTGGTTTCAATTTCATGCTGGCCTCAGCAGTTTAGTTTTATTATGCACACAAGATCTGCCAGTGGCAGAAATTGATGCACGTATCCAGGGACTCTGCTTGTCTATCACCAGCATTTTACCCAATTTTCTCACAAAGAAGTTTCTCTTTAAGCCATCTTTAAATGGTTTAAATTACTCTCCTGACACATCATTTTTTGTGCATTGTTACAAAAAATATAATTTCCACAGTCCTTCAGGGGACAAAGAATCAATGTTAACTATCTTTGTGTCCACTGTACCAATCAGAATTTAAGAAGTACGGTACAAGCCATAGCAGACTGGAAACCGTATTTGAAGGATGGCCTGGAAAGGTATTCCCAACCTGAGCAGGAAGCTTCAGTACTAACTATTCAAGAGTGGGAATTTTTGGTCTGATTTTCAAAAGCACTCAACACAGGCTCAGCTATGTTCCCACTGAAGTCAGTGGGAATTTTACCACTCAATGGGAACAGACTTATGCCAGTTCTGAATGATTTTGAAAATCTGATCCCTCGTATGAGGGCTGGCTTTAGGGCAAATTGAACATAAGAAAGCATGCAGCACCACAGTTTTAAACCTCACACCAGCTAATAAGCATTGATATATGTTTCACTGGAAAAAACAGATCAATCCATATTCTATGCTGTATTCAGCCTCTAGGCTGGGGACAGCCTCAGGGGAGAATGACATAGGGGCTGTCAGGAAGAGAGTTATACAGTTCTCTGGTTCTGAAAGCAGTTTTGCATTGAACCAAGCAGTTTAGAGCAGTCTTAGGCTGCTCTAAACTCTGCCAGATGGAAACGGGCCACAAAGGAACATCCACCAACACAGCACATTCCAGCAATGCCTTCTCCAGGCGCTTATACCATATGATTTATATACTTTTCTTTTTAGAAAACCTGACATGCATTGACATGCATTCCAGTTTTAAACGTGATGTTTTCTTAGCAGTGTATGACTGACTAAACAAAATACAAAAGAGTGTGGGCAGGGCTTTGGAGGCTCATTCTGAATTGCTTGCTTCCTCTATTTGTAGTGCCAATGCAATAAAAAGTGATTCTGAAGTACTCTGACATTCAGAGTGTTTTCATTCAATTGTATCATTCCAAACAGAACTCTCATGCCAGATGTTTTTGGATTGGTTGAGGGTTTTTACTATCCACTTCTTATATTAGCTACCAAAATGTTCAGTTTATGTCATAAAAAGAATATTTCTTAGGGTGTGGTCATTGCCTTTTCTGCAAACACAGGACTTTTGCCGAGGCATTGTCTTCTTCATAGGACACCACATCACACACAATCTATTTTTATAAGCACTTGCAACCCTTATTATCCATCCTTCTCTAGCAACCACCCAGGAGAGGAATACATTAAAGATACAATGAGGGAGTCATTTGTCCAAACATCATCATTTTACAAAACTACACTTGGGATTTGCACTCATCTTCCCTGCCCTGCCGCCAACAAAACTCAAAGGCTAACGAAAGCCCATTGCTTTCTGTTGACACAAGACAGCTACTGATCTTTGCAATACTAATAATACAACCTGACTTTAACATAGCACTTTTTGTTCTAATGAATCTCAAAATGCAAACTGGAAACTATGGGCCCCAATTTCTTAGCTATGTTCTGCCTGCTTTACAATGCTACGAAGGATGCAAAACAGGTGGGAAAACAGTTTAGTCAGCAATCTGGGAATTTCC